AAAATCAAAGTAGATGGTGAGGGGTGAAGGGATGGAAGAGAAAATCATGAGAAACGGCCCAGATCTCGAGAAATGGGACCCCTTCGGACATCGATTTCCGCAATGATGTGGCTCTCATCGGTGCCCTCATCAACACTAACGCTCTCCCAGCTTAACCCTTTGACTACTGGTGGTACACATGTGTACCACTTCCGTAGTCAAAGGCACTACCACAGTTTTGGCACTTATTGAGATCGGAGGCCCGCTTGATGGCGGAATTGTGCACAATAGAAACTTTAAAATTCTTACTCTGTCAACAAATCATCACAAGTCAAGGCGAGTTACCCTGGATGAGTTACTAAAGCAAGTCGTACCGAAGGTCACTGGCCAGTGCGCACAGCTCCCGAAAAAGTAGTTTCATGTTTCGCACACTTTTGATACTAAAATGTGTATTTGTAAATGGTAACTAAATTGCCGATTCATCTTTCAAAAATATTCATTCGAGCGGAGATGGTGTGGTGACAAGATGAGGCCACTACCGCGAGCATGGTCCCTGAGATCAAATCCCAGGTCAAACAGCGTACGTGAGCCAAATTTCTGCAGATGACTAGCTGTTGCGGGAGCATTAGTTGTTATGCAAAACAAATCAGATCTTAATTCCAAAAAAGTGTAGAGTAAGGGTTAACACGTTGACGACGACGCGTATTTTCCCTTGTCGCGCGCATGGGACGACGCGTTTTTGCACCATAAGTGTCAGTGAGACTTTGCTTCGAAATCATTAAAATCTCAACAATGCACAAAAAACTTGTAACTGCTTTGCTTTTAACAAGTTAAGGACACATATGGGGATGTTGCTATTTCTAAATTTTTTTTGAGATTTCACTAACACATCGTGGTATTTTTTAAAATTCAGAGGGGGTGGGTATGAAAGGCGAAATTTGAGCAGATTTTTTTCTTAATATGCATATGAGTGTTCCTTTCGATGATGCTGATATTCTTACCATCTTTGGAAATCAAGAAAAGTTCTCATATGAAGCGATGTGGGAGAACTTTGTGAACCTGACAAGGGAAGCAATTTTCTCTGACTGGGTGCTGCTTGGCATTGACCTTATAAGGTGACCAACTTTATTCGAATGATTAACTCGAGGTCACAAGAATCTTCCGTGAAAAATAACAGACACGAAGGGACTAGAAAAGCACGTTGGAGTGTGCATGCAAGTGTGGCTATGTATACTAAACGATCAAAGAAATTACTTTTTGCGTAAACCTCAAAATCTTGCTAAAATGGACGTTCTGATGCCAGAGAGATCTTGATAAAAGCCGATTCGAACTTATTTGGTGGCCTTTACACTTTGCTGACAATACTGATTTTGAAATTGCAATTTAATTTGTGACGTGATTTTGCAATCGAGAACTAACAAAAAAAAATTCCCAGCAATTGGGAAAATTTCAGGTCACTGCCACATATTTTGGATTAAGGCACTGAAGTACTAATTAATTTCATGAAAAGCTGCGGGTTTCATTTGCCTTCATTAACTTACACAGCTGTCGGACAGCATTGACCGACATCGTCCCACAGGACAGACTGCCTGTCGGTCACCATTGACCGACATCGTCGTCAACGTGTTAAGTCAGGCGGGGAGGTGTCTGTCAGCCAGTCGGTGAGTGCAGCGGCGCGGTGCGGTCCTTGGCCGCTGCAAGCAATAGCCTTCGCTTACCAGGAAGGTCTTTCAGGGCGTGACCAAGCTTTTTGAAAACGGTCTTTTGCATGATATAGGGGCAGATGCGGGAACCACAGAACCATGTTTAATTTTTCCTGAACGGCCCTCTGAATACCAGAAAAGGGGTCCCTAGTTCGATTCCTCTGGTGACAAATTTTTGCATTTCGAGTTGACGTTCCAAAATTCGCGCAAAATGGAGTTCTGATTGTTCTGGTTGGTTCTAACTCCATTTTGCGCGAATTTTGGCACGTCAACTCGAAATGCAAAAATTTGTTACCACGAGGAATCGAACTAGGGACCTCCTTTTCTGGTATTCAGAGGGCCGTTCAGAAAATTTATAACATGAATTTTATAATCGTATAATTTATAAATACAATTTATAGTTCAGAAAAATTGAACATGGTTCTGTGGTTCCCGCATCTGCCCCTATATCATGCAAAAGACCGTTTTCAAAAAGCTTGTCACGCCCTGAAAGACCTTCCTGGTTAGAGCGCGTCGTCCTGACCTCATATGGCCCCACCTGTTTTATGTTTCCCCTCCCCCCCCCCAGGAGGTAAGCAAACCAGCCCTTTTGGCGTTTCGGCTGGGACCGTATGCTGAATGTTGGGGAGGGGATGGGGTCCCCAACGGTCGACGGTTTACTTCAACTCGGTTGGTACGATAGGAGAGTACTGACGCAAGTGGTGCAGCTGGTCCAGCAGCTCCGCCAGAAGGGCTGGTTTGCTCACCCCAGGACTAAGCCTTGGAGAGGGGACGGACCCGTCCTCTCTTTAAGGCTTAGTTCTGAGGTAAGCACCAAATTGTGGCGGTTCTAAGGACCGAGTTGAAGTGGTCCGTCCACCGTCGGGGACTCCATCCCCTCCCCAACATTCAGCATACGGTCCCAGCCGAAGCGCCAAAAGGGCTGGTTTGCTTACGTCCCCCCCCTCCCATTGTGGAATCGCATTGAATGCAGTCTTGTTGTGCCGTGCAATTTGGTCAATTGCACCACCCTCTTCCCTTACGATTAGTGCTTACACTTGTTTAGCTATTGTTTTGAGTTATCGTACCAGTGCGCTTTGTGAATGGGTTTGTCCGCGGTGACATAAACAGCAGGAGTAGCTGAAAGTATAGGACGCCATGTATTAAGTGTAAAAGTCAAGAAGGCACTCTATTAACAAACTAACTTCTCGGAATGGTATAGTTGGGTATATGAAAACTTGGTACAAAAGGTGCTCTGAAGTTGAAGATTCTGCTTTGACAGAGGCCTTCTAACGTCCAGCGACAGAAACAGCAATGCGCCGCAGGTAGCCAACGGCGATGTCGTCCCACGTCTTTCAAAGCGCTAACTACAGAGCATCCACCGAGCTGTAGAAACTTTCGATCTTCTCCCCAACATCCCACATAGAAAAGTTCATCGGGTTAAGGCCTGGAGAGAAAGGTCATAAATCCTTGCTCCGGTATCCGGGAAGTGCGCGTTCAGACGGTTTGATCGATTTGAAAGCGTATTAGGGAGTCCAACTTTTTGGGCAGTAACGGTCTTTGAGCACAGTGCTCATGAATTCAGGACATACCGTAACTACTCAACATGGTCTTTTGCAAGATCCTTGAATTAATTTTAACATTTGTGGAAGATGAACTCCAATGGAGCTGCACTTTTGGATGTTACCCCGTCACAAACTACCACACCTTCGGGAGAAAGTCTGTTGTAAACTACGTTATCTCGGAGACTTGCTCTCACTTTTTGGCAACAACTGCCTCTGACTTTGGTGGTCGCAAGAAGTTTACTTTGAAAATTTTCTCATTAGCCCAATCCGTAGGAGAGCGCCCTCGAGCTCGTGCAATTTTTTTTTGCATTTTATCAGTCGATTTAATTCGGATTACTCCGATGAGAACCAGCATAGATAGAGACGATAGATCTTCAGAATAGAGTTGCTCCCCGGGATCTATTGGTAAGACGGCAGATCCTGAGGTCAAAGCGATTTGACTTACGCTAGCCATTTTTGTGAGTGCCCTTTTTGTATGTGATTGCCCTATTCCTCTGAGTGTGCACAGTTCTTGAACTTTCACTTGTTGCTATCCCAGAGATAAGCACTCGAACCTGAGAGCAGCGAAGGCGTTTCGAAGAGTGGAAGAGGGAAAATCGAGTCGCTCTGCGAAGTCGCAAATTTGGAGACCGTCCTTGGGCAGTCACTTGATTATGGGTCGATGCGAAGAAAACTTCATAGCGAGAGTTCAGATGAACTTTGGACCAAACAACTTATGGAGCTTCTTACACAGCTCCAAAGCTTTCAAAGGGTTACGAAACATCCTGAAAATACTTCACGGCTCAGTGCCAGCAAGCGGTCAAAATCTCGTCCTATACTTTTCAGTTTCCCTCTACTTAAAGCAGGGGTCATGCGAAAGATGTCTAGTGTAGCCGTTAGCGAAGGATTTAATTGTTGAGTAGGAGGCAGGCATCCGTCTAATGACTTCGCTCGGCAAGCTGTTCGGTACTCATTTGGTTACATTCATAGGTTGCAACTGGGACGAGAAAACTGGGGGAGGGGAGGTAGAATATTCAGCAATTGACTCGCTTGAAAGGTGCAATTGTTACCGTGAGTTCGTAGTGAGTTGAGTAATCACTTGGTATCCTTTCATTTTCGTATACGCCCCAGCTCGATGTATCCAAAATGCTGTGAACCGCAAGAAAAACGCAGCAATCACTTTGATGATTTTTTATGCCGATTATTTGATTCTTCAGCGAAAGCTCGGCGAAAAAACTAAGCTTACACATTAAAGTAACTGTGGTATCAATTTGGTGGGGTAAAAGCGATATAGGTTGAAGGATGGGTGCCGAATGGACTGGAAATAAAAAGAGAAGCATAGCAGTACGTTGATGAAGCCCCCAACAAGGACTACTTCTCTTGCACCGGCAACCAGATGGCCGTGATCGAACTTACTTTCTCCATGGCCCAACGCATGCGTATTGAAATTAGCCACTTCTCCGCGATCCACGTTGCTTATCATGGGGTGGCGCGGGGGTATCTCGTCCATTACCTCACATTAGCTGTCAGCATTTTGAAAGCCCTAGCACCATTATGGCGCACCTTCTAGCCGCAACAGCGGCATCTCTATACTACTCGTGGGCTACAATCCAGCCCACGAAATCAATAGATTGGTCCCACGACCTCATCTGGAGTTGTTGCTTAAGGAACTAGACACCATTTTGAAGTGTTTGAAATATTGCTATCGAGCGTGTACTGCGCAGTAAAATTATTCACACTCATTATTTAGGGTTATGGAATATTAGATTGGTATCGAAAAATAGGGTTGCCAGATATGACGGGTTCTCGCGCTTTAGTTTATTACACGGGTGGTCTACCGGTTGGCGATGTAATTACTCGGCGCTAAAACTTGGTACTTATAGAACGCTTCGCTCCATTGTGTCGGCGACAAGTTCATCTTCAAAATTCCAGGTTACTGTCTTCTACAAATTTGCTTTTTTTTCTGGCGTTGAATACTAATGAGTTATATACACAGGTTGGAATGCTATCTGTAAAGTATTCTCGATCACAGCCGGTACCGTTGAAGAATGTACTACTCAGTTGCAAGAAGGCAATCTTCTCTGCATCGCTCCTGGAGGTCAGTATTCGTAGCTTGCTGGCTTGCCTATTGGAAAGGTTGTAATGATTCTGCTGCATCCAATAGAGAAAATCTAGTGGGTAGTACTTGATCTAGCGTTGAGTGTTAGCTTCTGTTTCATAGACACATTCCATGGTCACTCTATAAGAAAGGAATCCCTGCCCGAGAAAGGTAGAGTGTTCTGCGAGCGCACTTGCTCTAGCGACTTGATGGCGCAAACCTGAAGCTTCAAAGGTCAAGTGTTTTTACTCTCGTAGTTGCATCTATCTGCGATAGAATTGAACCCATAGGCGCATCTGTGTCTTGCTCTTCTGCTTGTTCTCTCGTTTCCTCGATTTTCGTATCCTCGCACCGCTTTCGCAGTGTTTCTTCCCCATGAGTTTGCTTTACGCTGAGAATAAAGTGCGAACAGGATTCATTGTTAACGCAGTTTTTGGCATTCGTGGATTCCTTACTATTCTCTTCTTGAGATTCCTACCATTCGTCTAGCTAACAAGGAAAGATGGTAGGTCGAAGTGGCCGTTAAAATGAAATGTATACCTCCTGATGCGTCTCCAGACGCTGATTCCAAATCTGCCTTCCAAATCTGCTAAACGACTCTCCGAACGGAGTTATGAAGCGTAATAGCTCAGTGGTGATGGTCCGGGGTGGCAGGTAAAAGCTCGTAGGATCGGTTCCTTTGCAAGTTTGTTGCTTTGCTTTTGTCCGCAACACTTCTAGAGACAAAAGCAAAGCAACCAATTTGCAAAGGAACCGATCCTACGAGCTTTTACCTGCCACCCCGGACCATCACCACTGAGCTATTACGCTTCATAACTCCGTTCGGAGAGTCGTTTAGCAGATTTGGAAGGCAGATTTGGAATCAGCGTCTGGAGACGCATCAGGAGGTATACATTTCATTTCGAACGGCCACTTCGACCTACCATCCTTCCCTTGTAAGATATCTTAAATTATGGAAGAATCTGTGATACAGCTGTATGTTGCAGGTGTACGTGAAGCGCTGTTCTCCGATCCCAATGTGTATGATATATTATGGGGAAAGCGTTTGGGATTCGCTCGAGTGGTAATAAATTCGAGGACGGTAAGTGATCTCCTTTGTGATAAATACGAAATGTTGAGTTTGAAATCTGATGTAATCATAGGAATCAAAACTGGCTGCTTTTCCTCTTTCTCCCTCTTTGTGGTCGAGCCTTCGGAAGGGCCGTAAAGATTTGAATAGTTTTGCTCCATGGAATTAGATGTGAACGATGAGGAATGAATGTTACAAGAGTAACTTTCATGGTGGTTCATCACAAAGGGGACAAAGAAGCGCTTTGAATCCCACCGGCTCCTTCTGTTCTAACGAATTTTTGTCGACTTCTACTTCTTCGAATCTATGTCGTCAAAGGAGTCCTCTAAATTCGCTTGCGCACCAAAAACTGCGAGAATATCGGAAGTTGCATG